ACTGGGCCGGCAGGGGAGCAGTTAGGCATCAATCAGGCTGGCAGGGGAGTGGTTAGGGGGTGATCAGGCTGGCAGGCAAGCAGTTGGGAGCCAGCAGTCCTGGATTGTGAGAGAGATGTCCGACTGCCAGTTTACAGACAGCCCTTGATGGGTCCCAGATTGGAGAGGGTGCAGGCGGGGCTGAAGGACACCCCCTCCCCAGTGCACAAATTTCATGCACCGGGCCTCTAGTTCATAATATAGAATTCATACTTCAAATCTTTCAAATTGGGTCAAAATGTCCTCACTAGTGAGATATGTATACAGGAAATACCAAAATAATATAGCAGCCCAAGTTGAAAGTTAAAATGGTCTGAGCACTTACATATCTACTATTTAAATAAATGTATCAAAAGTAACTATATCTAAATATACATACAGATATATAATTATATCTATGCAAATATATCTTTAAAACCCTGTATTTTTATCTAATATAAAGATATCTAATTTAACTACCGAGGAAATAGAAAGAATGAACTGTGAGCTGGTCACCAGGCTAACCCTATCAAAGGCATCCCAGCTGCTTCATCCCCATGGCCCCCAAGCCTGGATGTGTGCGCCACCTACTGTGCTATCTGCTTCATGATTCTACACAGGAAATTCCACAGGAACCTCTGACCTCATATTCCCACTTACCTGTTCCCCCTCCTCCATACATTTCCCTACCTCCCTCACATTAATGGAAAGGAAGAAATATCTCCTGCTTTGATTTCTAGCATCCGACAAATCAATTGCTTAATTTTCTATTGCGCTCTAATCTGTCTACAAGCTTTGTTTTTTCATAGCTGTAACTGAAATACAAACTTACATATTCTGCTTTTGTAAACATAAGCCTTTCTTCTGCTGTTACACTGCTCATAATTTTTATAGCAGTAAGGACATCTTATCAAGTGGATATACCCTTACTTAACCAACCTAGTTCCCAAGTATTATATAGTGAGATTGAATATTTTGCTATTAAAAACAATGCTTCATAAAAATCTTATATATTTTTTTACTACTCCCTTAAGATATACCCCCAGAAACCTTTCTTAGAATGTTGAAAATAAAGTAAAATTCAATATCTTATTTGTCCCTAGAGTGAAAATCAATATGAACTCTATTTTGGACATTTGTGATAAATAAGAAGACAAATTCTGTGTGTGTTTTAAAGTAAAACTCAATAAAAATAGAGGATGATTTTATCCTCAATTCACTGCAAAACTACTGTATACTCTTCTCACTTGCTATTATAGGAGGATTCCAATTAAGCAATTGACTAATATACTTTTATCCAGGTTCACAATGAACACTGGGTTTACTTAAAATGTTCTCCCAGAACTTTTAGGTTTCAAATATCTGTGTGTTGATCTGACCATTCCAGATGCTCTCTGGATAAAGCAACTGGTGAGTTACATGGATGAGAGATCATTTCTAGCAGATCAGAATATATTTCTAAATGCTATATTTTATTGATGGAAGGAACAACAACTGAGTTAATGTCCCTTGTTGTCACCTTGATCCATGGAACCTCCATTAAAGCTGGGGACAAGCTTTTAGGAGGAAATCTCAGGGGGCATCCAGTCCAACCTCATCCACAATACTTTCCTATTGGAATCAACAGAGACGTACACCTGACGCTGTGTGCACATATGAATCTGAAACAACCAGGACTGAAAGAGGTCTTAGGAAAAGAGCCAGTCTAGTAACTACTATTTCAACAAAGCCCTCCCTCCTCACCATGTCAGACAGTTAACTAGAACTTTTCTGAAGAATCTGCAAGATGATGCCTTACTTTCATCCTGGTAACCATCCTTCCTCAGGTATGAAGGGACTTCTGAAGTCTACCTGAATCTCTCTCCTGAACTGAATCATCACATTAGTTCATTCCCTTCCCTTTGATCTCTCTACAGTGGGGCAAACAATAAGTAGAACTCATACTACCTAGTCAAAAACTTGTTTCTATCAATATTCAACCTATACCTATGAAGTAACGAATAACCTGATTTTTAAAAGCAACTGAAGAAAAAAAATTTTTATGCACAATTTTTGAAAGTCATTGAGAGCACTACTAAATCCCAGCACACCCCCCAAAGCCCTCTTGGTCAACTGAGAATTTTTCCATTTTTCTATCCTCACCTGAGGATATGTTTATCTTTTTTAGAAAGAGGAAGGGGGAGGGAGAGAGGGGAAGAAGAAGAGGAGGGATGGGGGAAGAGAGAAGGGATGAATGGAGAATGGAGGGAGGGAGGGAGAGAGACAAAGAGAAAGAGAGAGAACTATCAATGTGAGAAACATTGATCAGTTGCCTCCTGTACATGCTCAGACCGGGGATAGGAACTGCAACTTTTTTAGTGTTCAGGACGATGCTCCAACCGAGCCACCAGGCTGGAGCTCAACTGAGAATTTGTTTGTGGCTTTTTGACAGCCCTGGGTCAGCCTTAATTAATCTCAAATTCCTCAGAGAGAAATCTATTGAAAAATGGCTGCTGAGATAACCTGCCCTGACCAGGTCACAGACTTTTTCTTAACTCTGTTTTTCAAGTGGTCAGACTCAAAAGAAGACTCCACACAGCAAAAACACTTTTTGAAGTGAAACAAGAAGCCCATATATAGTATTCACCAGGATTAGCACCTACAATATAATGGCTTAACAGACTCCATGAGTTCAAAATGTTCCTATTACCCCTAAGTAGTTAGCAATTGTCCTACATTACCAAGACTGATTCTTTTATCTGAAATCATAATTTTAGATACCATTTTCACTAAATACTAATCGCACTATTTTTAAAGTGCCTCAATTTCAAAGGACTCAGGTTCCCTACTGTTGGTTTTAACAAAATGCTGGGGACTATTAGCAAAACAAAGGTTGCATAGATTAAAATCATTTTTAAATCTCAATTTGCATAAGTTTTAATGTGAAAGAAATCTGTTTCTAAAATATACCTGTTTAGTATTTTAAAATGTTTTTCTTCTTAAGGCCACATTTTGATGGATGTGAGAGAGAGAAGGTGTTATTAGTAATGTGTATCCATAATGTAAATTCTGCAACAAGGTTCTGAAAGGAAGGTTGTTGCACTTCCCTAGGGTACCCAACCATGTGCTTTGGTCACTCAAAGAAGCACCTCAGGATATTTTAAATTGTCAAGGAAAACACGGCAACATCTGTCAGACACTGCACTAGCTACTACCCTTACCTGTACCTGACCACTTAATGAAATGGACAGATGATATTTCTTTGGACATAGGGTGCCATGAACAAAATACCAAGACCCTAAGGCATTACGAACCAAAAGAGTTTGACAATTTTGTCTTAGGCATTTCTTTCAAAGGTTTTTTGCTTTGATTTGGTTGGGAAACTGGAGGACAGATTAACTCACAGGATAATCTCAAATATCTAATAACTCTTACCTATTCTCTCTGAGTGGTATTTGGGAAAGTATATGTCTGTCTAATGATATGTGTATTGTTTTAGAACAGGGGTGGGGAACCTTTTATTTTCCCCAAGGGCCATTTGGGTATGTACAAACTTAATCAACTTAAAAATTAGCCTGCTATATTTGGTCAAACATTTACTAGTAATTAACTCACCCCTAATGCCTTGGCAGGACCAGACCAAATTCTTTTGTGGGCCTTATACAGCCTGCGGGCCGGAGGTTCCCCACCCATTTTAGAGAAAAAAGTGGGGGAAGCCCACTTATTTTCTACCAGAATCTTCCCACAGAGGTCACCCTGAGACTATTCAGCCTGGGAGGAAAGCCATCTGGCCTAATATTTGGTAGGAAGTGAAAGACTCAACATGCTATCATGTCTGCGTAGTTTCCCAAAAAAGACCTGAGCAAAAGACAAGAATACATTATTACACACTACAAGGATCTTAAGATAGCTATGGAGACAGGGAACATGAGAGAACTCCATCATCCCACCCCCTTTAGAATCTCAGAGTGAGTCTCCAGTACATTTATATTAACTCCTTTAGTTAAAACAATCTTTAAACATGAATAGCCCTGCTTCAAAGAAGAAATCTGTTTTTCAACCCTGCAACTCCAGATTCTGGTCTCCAGCAAAAGGAAGCTGTGTTTCTTGGAGAAATGGCTGATTCCAGATATGGGGCAGGCAATGTGCAAGATGAGCGTAGAACACCTTGTCACACCAGACAGCAAGGAAGCTATCGAAGACTGTGTCAAAGGTTCTGGGCACATACAAACTTCTGAAGAGGCTCCAAATGGCCAAAATGGTACAATTTGAGTATTTATAAGAATATTAACTATAATATACAACTTTTTAGAGGAGGCTTTTATTTTCCCCTTTTGAAAGTTTCAAAATAGTTATCAATGATAGGTAAGTTTTATTTAGGCTTACTGATAAAATTTATCAAGATAGTTGTACTTTTCAGCTGGCCTTCTCCAGCTCTTCTAATAATAGGCCTCTTTTCATAAGTTCATTTATTAATTAAAAACACACCTCACACACACAAAAAAAACAAGCAAACAAAAAACCTCATTCCTCACTGGTCACCACTAGAGAATGATTTTGAAAACGGATAAATAAAGAGACAAAACCAAGTATATTAATCCATGTCACAAATACTACTGGGTAGCCAATTAGTACAGGAGGAAAAGTTTCTCCTTATAGAAATATTCCAGCTAATAAATGAAAAAAAAAGATAGAATATCATAATAATGTAACTCCTAAAGAATCAGAGAATCTAGGCATTAGGTCATCCCAGAAACAGTCACCCAAATAGTATATGCCTCCTGGCGGAAGAACAAATAATTAATGGTGAAGTAATCTTGAAAAAAAGTGGAAGTATGGGAATATGAATACAAAAATCCTCCAGATCTAATTTACTGGAAATACAAAGGACCATAATCAGAAAAATCTAGTCTGTAGAACAAACTAGTTTCTTTAACAAAAAAATTACAGAGACTTAAAATACATACAGGGGTGGGCAAAAGTATTGATCCATAGATTCTGTTTTAAATAAACTGCTAGAAACAGGTTCTCACATCAAAGATGTGCCAGGCAGAGGGAACACCCAAGGGAGATGACTGAGACTTGATCAAAGGATGGGCAGTAGCCACACAGGATCTGCTCCTGAGGGGAAGAACACTGGACAGGATTTCAGCCAGTGCAAAGGTCCTGGGGCAGGAGTGTGCGTGGGTGTTGAGCAGCAGGGAAGCTAGTGAAATGAGGATCTGGAAGAGCAGTAGGAGGTGAAGTTAGAGGTGAGGGGTGGAGGGGCCTTGTGGACCCTCATGAGACTTTGCTTTCCCTCTCAGGAACCAGGAAAGGTTCTGATGATCCCTCAGAACCTCCGGACAGGGTCTGATTTAGGTGCTCCTGGGCGCCACCTGATGGCCATGTGGGGAATGATTTGGGGGTGAGGGCAGAGCAGGAAACCCTGAGGCGGCTGCCTGAAGTGTCGATGGCTCAGCCAAGGGTGGGGCCGAGGGGGTGGCACACACTGGAGAGGTTTGGCAGCAGCGTTACCAAGGCCCCCCCACCCTTCACGCCCTCACCCTTCCCTTACACAGGCGCCCGATGGCCTCATCTTCCCAGACCGAGCCACGCTGTACGTGACGGCCATCGAGGACCGGCAGTACAAAGACTACAAGATCCACTGTGAGCTTGGGCCCAAGGAGCTCGTGGGCTGGGGCGGGCTCGACCTGACCTGGGCACCGCGGTGTGCTCACCCCTCCTCCCTGCCTCCTCCCAGGGTGGGAGAATGTGTATGGCTTTGACATGTCTTGCATCAAAGACGTGGCCATCAAGGAGCCCCTGGTGGATGTGGTGGACCCCAAGCAGCTGGTCACCAACGCCTGCCTCATCAAGGAGGTGGACATCTACACCGTGAAGGTGGAAGACCTGACCTTCACCTCGCCCTTCTGCCTGCAAGTGAAGCGGAACGACTACGTGCATACCCTGGTGGCCTACTTCAACATCGAGTTCACGCGCTGCCACAAGAGGACCGGCTTCTCCACCAGCCCCGAGTCCCCGTACACACACTGGAAGCAGACAGTGTTCTACATGGAGGACTACCTGACGGTGAAGATGGGCGAGGAGATCTTTGGCACCATTGGCATGCTGCCAAATGCCAAGAACAATCGTGACCTGGACTTCACCATTGACCTGGACTTCAAGGGCCAGCTGTGTGAGCTGTCCTGCTCCACCGACTACCGGATGCGCTGAGACGGCGCCCGGTGTCTCCCACCCCAGCCCGGCCGGCCCTGCACAGGCCCAGCGGCTGTGGCATTTCTTAGGCGGTTTCAGGATCCCCCTTCCTCTCCTTTTCTCAGAAGGGAGTGACAGGGGCCTGGGCCTGGGATGGGAGGGTTGGGGGGAGGGCACATTGTGACTGTTTTTCATAACTTATGTTTTTATATGGTTACATTTATGCCAATAAATCCTCAGCTGGGGAAAAAATAATAAAAAATAAAAAAAATTTTTTAAAAAAGCTGAGACTTCAGGTTGTTATATATCTCTATATTTTGGAATGAATTATCAATGTAACTGAGTTATGAGAAATGGTAAATATCCCTTTCCCAGGAATACCATTCTTCAAAATTATGAAAGGGGAAAAAGGCTCATTTGGAACATTGGCAACTTAGTAACATTATCAGCAGCAACTCAGTTTACTTATCTTAAAAAAGGCAAGTTGATACAGAATGACTGAGGAGATAATGACCAACAACTACCTTCAAGCAATCCCCCAACATCTCATATCAACACACCAGGGAACTAACTTCTAACATACTGTAGATTTATAGGTCCTACACATCTCGATATTTAGGGTAAGGTTCTGATATATCTTGCTTGTTTAGTAACTTCATTGGCACTAGTCCAAGGTCCCCCATCCTCATACCTACAGACTATTGCCAAGCTGGAAGTCTTTCTGAGGACTTAAATTCTCTATGCACTTCAATTTCTGCAAATTTCAGACTATTACTTGACTTGAAGTATATCTACACTAATAAAAGACAAAGATGCTCATTGACCATACCTTCGATACGTCCACCAGCCAATCAGAAGAGTATGCAAATTAACCCAACAAAGATAGCCGTTAAATTTGCATTCTGCAGGTGGGGTGGGCAGCACCAGATGCCGCCCGCAGGATCTGGGCCACAGATCGGGGACCTGGGAGGCAAGGTGGGCAGAGCCAGATGCCACCCGGGGAGGCAGAGCTGGCAATCTCCCCGGCCAGAAGCCTGAGACCTAGACAGGGGCGGAACAGGCTATCCGAGCAGGCTGGGGGTCCCCTGCCCAGGCCTAACGCCCCAGCCAGAAGCCTGAGGCCTGGGAAGGGGCAGAGCCGACAATCGCCGGGGCTGGGGTCCCCTGCCCAGGCCTAATGCCCCAGCCAGAGACCTGAGGCCTGGGTAGGCAATTGGAGTGGGCTGGGGGTCCCCTGTCCAGGCCTAATGCCCTGGCCAGAGGCCTGAGGCCTGGGCAGGGGCGTAGCCGGTGATC